CTTCAACAGCGAACACATAACCGCATCTGTATAGTAATATCAAATGAAAGGCACAAAAGAAAACCATTAACTGAGCGACAGACATAGGGGGCATCATGTTCCATGATGATAAAACAAAAAGCGAAAATATAACAATAACATCTCCCTTTAAGCTTATTTCATATAAAAATTTTCTGGAGTATTTTGACAATAGCATCATCTAATTATTAGTAGCATCCTCAACAACATTTCTATTAATGAAACGCAACTTCCTGGTTCATATTAGAGCTTCTAAACCGAATTTAAAGATGGGTGCTTGCTAAGAGAAAGAGTATTCTTTCAAATATTGTTTGATTTGGCACAATGATGTTATCAATATTCTTCACATATTTTGGATCAGATAGTTTTAGTATCATTTCAGTCAGCTGAAAATTCATTGACAAATCCAATTTATTGCGTCTTTTATTCTTCCCTAGCGTTCGCAAGCAGCAACACCATAATCAAAGTGAAAGGAAACAAAGTGGAGCCTAAAACTCAACCACTTCTAAACACAAAAACCTAGCAAAAAAATCTACCAAGCATCAATAGTTCCACTTCCTCCTCAAAAAGGTAATGGCAATAGAAAGCTTAAACCGTGGCATATCAAAATGGAAGATCCAATATCATAGGATGCCCCAAAAGGAAATGAATCATCAAATTAGCAAAGAAACAATATAAAAAAATCAGAAAACTCCAAAAAAAATAGACTAGAGTGTCCATGGAGAATGCAATACGAAAAGAACATCAAGAAAACGCAGAACAAATAAATGTTTTATACAAGATGAAATCTAAACTTTGATGCGTTTCCTAAAGAATTTTTAATATGGGCTTGAAATAGTTAAAAAAATTCAAAATTTCATATAAAATCAATTGGGTATACCTATTGCGGTGATCAATAAAAGAGACTGTACCAATATCCATCCATAGAATCCACAGGTGAATACCCCTAAACATCAGAATTTGTTAAGTCAAAAAGTTCTTAAGTAATGTTTTCATCATGACCATCACAAGAGAAGGGCATTTGCGCATGCTTATCTAATTGACAACTAGTACATAAAGTGTGTAGTACTTAATGAAATTGAGCCACGATTTCCAAGTCTTTGTAGGGTCATCAAACTAAAATGCCTTAGTCGCTGATGGGAAACTCCGCACACCACTTAGTTGCAAGCTTATGTTCCGTGGCAATAAGAGTAAAAATCAATCACCTTCCAAAACATAAATAAGCCCATTTTCAGAACCCTTTTAGCATTCAACTTCCTGGTCTCACGATAATTAACAACAAAAAGATAGGGAAGAATTCAAAATTGCATTGAACAAAAAATCGGAACAGAGGTTGGGGGGACTTGTTCTAATAATGAAAAGGGTAAGAAACAAATATAAGAATTAGAGTGTGATTCCTTGAACTTAGAACCTGGAGAAGGGTAAAACGACGCGAGGCGACAGGGAGCCCTGATTTCCTATATTGGGGAGTGTGCAAGACCTGCACTGTCCAAATACATAGTAAGTACAGATGGCTACAACCCAACGTTAATAAATAAGGCTACAGCTATAAAAATTTGGAAAAATAAAAAAAAAAACCTAAACTACATTTTTTATGCAACTTACCTCCAATTTAATATTTTTTCTTACTTTTTTTTTTAATACATTTTTTTATACAAATACCCCAACCAAATAGAAAATAAAAAAATACCTGAACTACCCTCTTCTATCCTACCAAAATAGGGGCTCCAGCACTGGGTAAGTACGGTCCTACAGTAGCACTCCGGCACTATGTAAAGTGTGGTACTACAGTAGTGCTCCGACACTATGTAAATTGTGGTAGTTATCTTAGGGCGGTCCTTCACTTGTGTGCTCCGGCAATGTGATAGTGCGCTCTGGCAATGTGCTACTGGGGTCCAAAAGTCAACATCAAATCTGATCAAAATGATTTTTGTATATAAAAAAGCATTTCCTTAAGAATAAATAAATAAATTTTTTCTATTGCAGAGGTATTTGCATAAAAAGTTTGTTTTGGAGAAAAAAATTGACTGGGGCAAATTGCATAGAAATTATGGTCTTGGCAACTTTTTATAATTTTCACTAGAGACTTCATCCAAAAGTAAGCGGTCTCTTTGTATACTTTTCCTATTAGTAATCTCACGGTTACCCGGCTTCTTGTCCCATTAAAAAATGGGAAGCATGTATGCATGGGAAACTCCAAATAATCAAATATCTATTTTATTTCACCATTTAATATACCCAATAAAGAAGGTGCAACTTGTTTGAAGTTTATACTATAAGATGCCCTCCGCATACGGCAAGCCCTATTTTACTTTATTCGACACAACTTTTCTTTCGAACCCTACAGGATCGCTTATTTTCAAAATGGAATCTTCAAAGAAAAAATAAAAAAACAAAAAGGCTTTGCACGGTGGTCAAAGGGGTTCGTTGCATTGTAAGGCTTATTTTCTTTGGGGAACGTATACTAAGATACCAATCATTTTTTGTACTCACAATTTTTTTTTTATTTTAAGAAAATAAAAAAAAAATCCCTTAATTTTAAGAAAATCAGAAAAAAATCAAAAAATCAGAAAAAATCTCAAACTTCCCTCACTTACACCTTTTTTTTATCAATTTTCGATATTTTTTGGACGAAAATACCCTTTACAGTAATCTTTCTATCGTAATATATTGTGACTATTACGATAATTAAAATACCGTTGTAAATAGAGATAGAATTACGGTACTTCTAGTATCGTAATAACATAAACGTATATTACGGTACTTTAATTACCGTAATAACATAGAGTATTACTGTAATTAAAATAGCGTAATACTTTAAAGTAGTATTAGGGTAATTTAAGTACCGTAATATTGCCTAACTCAACACAAAAGATTTTTTATTCTCTCCAGCCTACTATTTATTTACTCTCTTCACAAAAATCCGTGCTAGCACTAATTTTTCAAATCTCAAATTTTTAGGATATAATCTCTACTTAATTTTATATAGTTATCAAAATTTTAGAACGAAAACTCTCTTAAATAGGTGTTTTTGAGCGAGCGAGTAGATCCACATCGTGCTCTCATGAGAATACAGATTTTTTGAAAATAGTAGCTCTGATATTAGATTTGGTTTGAAGCTTTTAAAGTACTACGGTAATAGAAAAATTACAGCTAGCATAGATTTTTGTCGAGGGAGTAAATAAATAGTAAGCTTGAGAGAGTAAAAAATCTTTTGTGTTGAGTTGGGCAATATTACAGTACTTAAATCACCGTATTACTACTTTAAAGTATTACGGTATTTTAATTACCGTAATACTCTATATTATTGCGGTAATTAAAGTACCGTAATAGATGTTTATGTTATTACGGTACTAAAAGTACCGTAATTCTATCTCTATTTACAATGGTATTTTAATTACCGTACTAGTCTCAATGTGTTACGATAGAAAGACTACCGTAAAGGGTATTTTTGTCCGGAAAATGTTCAAAATTGGGAAAAAAGGTGTGGGCGAGGTTTTGAGAAGTTGGGTTTTTTTTGCGAATTTTTTAAAATTAAGGTATATAACGATAATTTCATATTAACTTTTGAAAATATTTGTTTTTAAACTTTGTGCTTAATGATTGTGATCTTCTTGTATAAAAAATACGTGGTCACGTCCCATACATTTCGTTCTTTTTTTCTTGATAAAAGTAGATCATTTAAAAGGAAATTTTTTTTTAAAAAAAACAGATAAAAAATAGAGCTGGTTGCTCAAGGGGTCTGTTGAGGAAGTTGTAGAAAAAGCCTTGTCCTGCCTAAAAGGATGAAGGCCAAGCTCAAACTTTGGCACACATATCCTTGCACTTTCCTGTGAATAAGTTCATAAGTTCCCGAAAAAATTGGAAAATAATTAAAAATACTGTTTTTGAACTCCATAAGTGCATGTCTTTCATTTCACGAATGGTCGGATCTAGCCTTTAAAAAAGGTTATTTTTTTCTCTTAATTTCTATTTGCTGATGTTGAGTGGATCTAAGAGTTGCATAATCGTTCAGTGCCCCGTTCTAGCATCAATTTTCCCCTAAAATGAGTGGTACCTGTATTATCGTATTAAGAACATTTTTTCATTTTTTGGAATTTTATTTATACTATTCGTGTCGGATCGTTGGAATTGTTGGATTGGATCCGAAGACTCGGTAGAATTGATAATTTGTGTCCCAAATTTTTTCAAAAAATAATTCAAGAAATTTTGTTCATCCTTTTTTGTCGCTTGACTTGGTTAAGAATTGGTCAGAATCGGTGAAGAATCAATCGGACTCAGTGAAAAAATTCCACAAAAAAATCAAAGAGTTTGTTATTTTGAATCGACCGAATCCTGAATTTTTACGAGATCCAGGACATGGTGATTCTTGATTCCAGATCGGGTCACCAATTTTTAAGTCCATTTACGCAATCTATTTCACCAATATCAGTAGGATTTCTCACAAATTTTTAGGCTAAAAATATAGCCATAAGGCACCCAATGTCGAGAGGTGAATAGTACACAACCCTTGGCCTTAGGAAGAACAAATATGTTCTATTTAGAAAAGTAGAAATGTGACGACATCAATTTAAAACTAGCAATCGGCTCGGCCCGTAAGTCAGATCTTAAAAATTTAGGACATGGCCACAAAATATGGCATGGGTAAAGTTTGGACCTAAAAGAATGGCCAGCTCAGGCTTGATATGATAATTTTTTTTATTTTTTCACTTTTTACAAAAGGAATAATTGATTAAGCCAAGTTTCGCCCTAACCAATTTAAAACTAGGCTGCCTGGTCGGGGCTGCCTTGTTGGGATCCATGGGATCCATGCGGGGCACGATCTAGCGTGGCACTGCGTCAATTATTGTGCACCAACGTTTTCGAAAGTCTTGGTCGTTCCCAAATTGTTGATTGTCTTTATTGTAGGATTTCCAGCTAAAAGACACACGGTGAAAACTGTCACTACCCTTTCAAATGAACCCTAAGTATGCCCAACAAGCGATGCTGCCAAGAAAGTAGACGCAGACTTCAAACAATAAAACAAAAAGAAAAGTAGAAGAAGGAGAACCAAGGATCTTACCACTTCCTGAATCTCTCAAATCAAATCCCCAAAACTGAGAGACGACGGACAACAGGTTCTCATCACTGTTGACCTGAAACTGAAGTATCTCAGCCTAAGTCCCCCAATCCGACTGAGGGAGAGAGTCATGGAAAGCATTGAAGCATCTGGCTATGGCGACCCCGAGACGACGACTAGAAGCTACTGGCGATGGAGCAAAGATGACTTTTTCCCAGAGCAATCCTTCAAGAGCTGGTCCTCCTACAAAGATGCTCTCCTATCGGCCCCTCATCGCTTCAAGGACCGCCTGTTAAGCCGCTCCGATGAGTCAGATGAACTCACCAAACTTCGAAAGCAAAGTGAGAATGACATGAAAAAATGCCTCAATTGGTGGGACTTAACGTGGTTTGGTTTTGGCTCTGTCATAGGTGCTGGTATCTTCGTGCTCACGGGCCAAGAAGCTCATGACCACGCAGGTCCCGCCATAATCCTCTCTTACTTAGCCTCAGGCCTATCAGCCATGCTCTCAGTCTTTTGTTACACAGAGTTTGCTATCGAAATCCCAGTTGCCGGAGGCTCCTTTGCATACCTTCGTGTCGAGCTTGGAGACTTTGTAGCATTCATAACCGCTGCTAATATACTCCTGGAGTGTATAATTGGGGGCGCAGCTGTAGCTCGAGCTTGGACCTCATATTTTACTACACTCTTAGACCGACACCCAAATTCCTTTAGGATCCATGTCCATTCCCTCTCTAAGGGTTTCGATCTCTTGGACCCCATTGCAGTTACAGAGCTCATTTTGGCATCTATATTGGCCATGATAAGCACCAGAAAGACTTCATATCTCAATTGGGTGGCCTCAGCAGTGAACATGATCGTTATCTTGTTCGTAATTATAGCCGGGTTTGCGAATGCCAAGGTTTCTAACATGTCCCCCTTCCTCCCCTTTGGAGCAAGGGGAGTCTTCCAAGCTGCTGCTATAGTGTACTTTGCCTATGGTGGGTTCGATAACATAGCCACCATGGCTGAGGAGACCAAGAACCCCTCGAGAGATATACCACTTGGGTTGTTAGGCTCGATGTCCGCTGTAACCGTCATCTACTGCTTGATGGCTCTCTCTCTCACCATGATGCAAAAGTACACAGACATAGACACGAATGCTGCCTACTCTGTTGCGTTCCAACACATCGGGCTCAAATGGGCTAAGTACTTGGTTGCTTTGGGTGCACTAAAGGGGATGACCACCGTGCTCTTGGTGGGTGCTCTAGGCCAAGGCCGCTACATAACACACATTGCTCGAGCCCACATGATTCCCCCGTGGTTTGCTCTGGTCCACCCGAAGACTGGAACCCCTATCAATGCCACACTCTTAGTTTCCCTCTCCAGTGCTTGCATAGCCTTCTTCTCGAGCCTTGATGTATTGGCGAGCCTCTTATCAATCAGTACTCTGTTTATCTTTGCGATGATGGCTGTTGCGCTTCTCACTCGGAGATATTATGCCAGGGAGTTGTCCTCTCGGCTCGAATTGTTGAAGCTGATAGCTTTCCTTCTTATTATCATAGCTTCTTCTATGGGTACTTCAGCTTATTGGGGATTGAGGCCCAACGGGTGGTTTGGGTACACAATTACTATTCCCATGTGGTTTTTGGGGACATTGGGGATTCGGGTTTTCCTACCTGAGCGCCACGCTCCAAAGGTGTGGGGTGTTCCGTTGGTTCCCTGGCTCCCTTCCCTCTCTATTGCGACAAACCTGTTTCTCATGGGCTCACTTGGTTACCAGTCTTTTGTGAGGTTTGGGGTTTGTACTTTGCTCATGCTGGTTTACTATGTTCTCATTGGACTCCATGCAACCTATGATATGGCGCATGAGAAACAGAGATCAGATGGCTTTTATGTAAACGGAGAAGAGGAAATGGAAAATGTGAAGCCATAACAGAATTGGCACTTGTTCTCTATTTCTAGGCATCAAACATTCCAGGTTCCCTGCAAGGCTGCGACCAATTTCCTTGTTTAAGGCAACACCAGTTTAAGAAATGGTATACATTGGACTTGAGGATTCAGCTAACAACTCTGACTAGTAAATGCCGAAGTGGAACTACATTGAACTTGCAGCTGGACAAAAAGGTGAAGACCAAACCGGCAACCTTCTTACTTCTGCCATGGCTTTTCAGAGCTGTAGTTATCAACGAAATTTGAGAATAAATGTTATCTTCAAAAATCGTATCAGTTTAGCTTGGTAGTTTTAGTGTGGTGTTTTTTTTCCTATTAGCAACATGCTATCCTCTGAAATTGGCTCTTCCCCAAATTTTCGGCTCAAATTCTTCAATCTGAACTCTAATTTAGGCTGGAAACTTGTGGTTTATTGGTTCCTAAGGGGGTTTGGCCGACAAAATCCGATATTTTAAAACCTTTTGGCCTGTAGATGGAGAGAACTTCCACTGAAACTTTGAAATCACTGTAATCCACCCTCAGAAAAACTATGTTAATAGTCATGTAATGATGCTGTTGATCAGTATCATATAATATATTCCAAGTGAGAAAAAAAACGAAAGATATTTCTTTTCTATGGTTCTACTAGGGGAGGTCCCATAGGTTGGATTGGTTTAATCACCCAAAATGATGGGACCAATTTCGAAAAGATATCCACAAATTCTTATATAAAAAGTTAAAAGCTAATTACTAAATCCATCAGGGGTAATCCTTCCACAAATACTTAAATTCACTAAAGTGTGTCCATTCTGATAAATGGGGTTAAGTGGAGTTGATGAAGACTCGGTCTTATTTCTCCCCCTTGAATTGGCCTTTCACTCTCTATGATAAATGAATTTCTCAAGTGTGATCATTCTGTGCCCTTTTTCCATGTCTACGAGAGATGGTGGCATATGTCCAAAGGGCAGGGAATAGCAATGGAAAATTTTCCCTTGGCTTTAACCTCCCTTGATTTTTGAAGTAACAATGAGAAAATTTGCTCTTAATTTCTAATTTCAGTGGAACGAAACCTATATTCCTGATTTATAGATAGTGTGTGAATCCCGAACCAATATATATGCTTTAGAAACTCAATTGGCGTTCATATACTGTGTAACGACCTTTAGTGTGGAGTCGTGTGCTAGCCATTCCCCAACCGTGTCAAAATCCAATTTCAATTTTATTAAACAAAATTGATTTGGAATTATAATTGTTCTTCGACGTATACAGAATTAAGCCTATGTACAGTTCACTCTACAAAAAAACATTGGATTGGGGATTCGCCTCTCGAGGGTGTGGAATCTCCATGAGAGTTTTTATATTCCTAGTGGTTCATAGAGATAGAAGGACGTAACCAGTTCCTGTCATTGCGCAGGTTAGGCAATATATCGGCATCACCTCCACGGTGTATCAATCTCCACCACCAATGGGTGTCCCATCGCGTAGTGGCCAGTATTAGTAAAGCAGTGGCCAATATTCTCACCAATGTAATAGTATCGTACCCACTACCAATGGGTGTTCCATTGCGTACTGGTCATCATTAAGGCCTCTTTTCATGCTCGAGCATTCAATTAATTCATGCCAATTCAACACCTCATAACAGATGAATCACATTCTCATCATAACAGTATGGCAATTAGCACGAAGCATTCATTACATGAATCGTAGCATAGCATTTATACATGAAAATCATCAAGGGCATTTTGGCACTTATCATGAAACTTTCATCATGAAATAATCACATAATTATGGCACTTATCAAATTTCACATAACGCGTAGTCGCATGGCACCCCTCGTAAAACAATATGGCAATTAGTATTTATCACATGAAGATTGTCACATGATACTCAGACGACAATGACACGCACAGCGCTACGCACGTCGTGAATGCGCATGGCGCTACATACATGGCATTACACGCACGATGTTATGTTCGCAGCGTTACACGTGTGGCACTACACACATGTAGTTTCACAGACAACGATACCCAGACACACACGGTGATGCTCATGCAATTTCACACAGACGGCGATGCCCAAAAGGAGTCACAGTTGCTGAAATTACAGCGATTGTGAGCGGTTACATATCCCACTTTTTCGGCCATATCTTTTGATCCATGTGACATTTTTATCATGATACAAAAATAAAACTTTAACTAGACATGTGTATCTTTATTTAAAACTGATTTGGACCCATTTGGGCGTCGTTTGGTTAGTGTAAGGCACGGGGAAAGAGCCCACACAGTTGCTGGAAAATCTCCTTCCCTCAAACAATAACATATCATAACAATATTATACCCCATTTATAAATCACTTAAATCATAATTCTTTTGTCTTAATCGTATCAAGTAAACTTGTAAGTTTGACAAGAAATAACTCTGTGATTTTCCAAAAGTTCATAAGCCATGTTCAACACTCGTTCTACTTCATTTATCTTCCATTCTACATTCATTCATCCTATCATACATAGCACTAAATCCACTTACATGGTCATGACGCTCCTAAGCTTCCTTGCGCAGGTTGCTCCTTGCTTTCCCCACGACAGCATCTCCTTTGATCCCTACGCGTAGGTCGCCCGTCTCTCCTGGCAACAGTCGGTAGTTCCCCAACAGCAGCCGCACAAGAAAAAGTTTGAGGGGAAGGAAGGGAAACGACGCTGAGGGCAAGGAAGGGCATGATTTATAGGCACGTGGGTTGGTGAGATCCACTGTGGCTAATGCCTCGAGTGGTTGTGTAGAGCGTTGTGGCTGGCGTCACATGCGCGGCGCGGTGTTGACACACTTGGTACGATGCTGATAGATACGACAACGATATTGACACCGCTAATGGCTGCACACTTGACCAACCACATATGGCATTACCCTAGGTGACGATAAGCTCATGCCGATGCTTCGGCCGGCGATACTCACGCGATGATGCTCCAGCCAGCAATACTCAAGTCGCGATGCTTACGCACAGCGATACTTTGTTTCACGTGTGGTGTTAGTGTCCTTCACGTGCAGCGATGCTTCTTGCGCCTTTCGAGCGTGGCGATACTCCTCTCTCGCTGGCGGCAATACCCCTTGTTCGCACACGGGCGTGCGCTGCCATCTTTTTTGACTTCCTTCTCTCTCTCCATTGTCGTGAGTGGTCCGGTTCAGTCGAATTGTGGCCCTTACATCACACACTATTCCCGTGAGCCCTCCTTCCCCAAATCACTATTAAAGGTGACTACTTTTAGTGTTTTGGGCAGTGACTTTCGGGGGCCATATCTCACTCATCCCGAGTCAGACCATGCTTAAATTTTGTGAGTGTGTTCACCTCATCAAGACGAGTGTTTCAATATGTGGTACGCTTTGTGATGATGCCCAAGCAGGGAGAAAAGCTAGAGAGAAGTTGTCGATTCTAGAAGAAAGTTGCAGGAAAATCAGCAGCGACACGCCTCTCTCAAGCTGCCAAATCATGGTGCTCGCACAGCGGTTCGACGTGAGACCAGTTCCATCGCATGCGTAAGATCTAAGGTTACTATTGGTCCAAATCTCATGCGTGATGAACAATCAGATTTCACACACGAAGCCAATAAAGTGGCTATAAATTTCAGCCGCTGGAATTCAGATTCTGACCAAAACCCAAACGATGCGAAATCTTCGTCCGGGCACAAAATAGTGCTACGTTTGTTGACACATGATCGTGATGGCATGATTAGTGTGATTAAGTGAAGAAATCATGGAAAAAATCAAGAAATGAGCACACTATCGATCCAAAAGTTTCAAGATTCATTCAAATTTCGAGTCTCATGATCGTGCCCTAAAAACCCGATCTGTAGCTCAAAGTTGTTATCAAATTGATCGCCATGCCATGCCTTACAAGAAAACAATCATCTTTCGAACAAATGGGCACCAGAGCAACTCCGGATCATCCATGGAAGATCACGTACGTTCTAGGGCAACAGCAGGAACTGTTTTGGAATTTCATGTATTGTTAGGCAGCGGCAAAACAATCATTTTGCACCCATTTTTAGAATTTCTTTTAATTCAAATAAATTGTAATTATCATCAATTAGGATAGTTTTGGGCATCCATCCCACGTTTGGGCCCAATTTTATAAATACACGATAAACTTAATTGTAAATGGTCTTCTTGGGATCCCCTCATGCTTTCAATTGATGAATAAAGTTTGATTTTTTTCTATTGAATTTGGGAGGCACATCTTGGAGAGAGAGAGGAGAGAGAAAAAAAATTTGGTACCCCTCGGTGAAGGTAACTTTCTCTCTTCTCTTTTCTCTCTCATCATCTCTATTTTTCTCTCCTCTTCCTTCCTCTCATCTAGCTCTTTCTCTCTCCTCCTCCTTCTTCTCATTTATCTCTTTCTATCTTCCTCTTCTTTCCTCTGTCTCTCTCATCTTTCTCTCAAACATGCAAGGCAGTGACCATCGCTGTGTATGTCTATATTTTTTCTCTCTCTTCTTCTTCCTTTCTCTTTTCTTCCTACTTTTCCTCTTTTCTTCTCTCCCTCTCTTCTTCTCCTTTCTTCTTCATTCTTTCTACTCTATCTTTCTCTCTATCCCTCTCTATCTGAACATACACGGCGATGGAAATGCCTGCATGAATCTCTCTCTATTTTCTTCTATCTCTGACATACACGGCGATGGCAATGCCGTGCACAAATCTCTTTTCATGTTTTCTTTTTTCTAACACACATGTCAGTGGTAGCATCATTCGTGTTTTTTTCTCTCCTCTTCCTTATTCTTTTTCTATCTTTCCTAATTTCTTTCTTTCTCTTCCTTCTTTCTCCTCTAGCTCTCTCCCAATCTCTCTCCTCACTTTCCTTTGCTCTCTCTTCTTGCCTTTCTTGTCTCTTTACTTTCCTTTCCTCTTTCTCTTCCTTAAACCCTCTTTCTTCCTCCCTGTCTTTCTCTCACTCTGTTATTTTTTTTCTCTCCAGTCATACACGGCGATGCCTATGGCTGGGTATGACGTTCTCAGTTTTCCCTTATCCTCTGGAGATAGACATAGTGAGCCGGGCCTTAACCCAAGTGGTAGGCCGGGCCTCTGCCCAAGTTTCCCCTTTCCCATGTTGTGCACGGCGATGCTCATCGCCGTGCATAACATTCCTTTCTCATCCCTGTCTCTCTGACATGGGCGGCGGAAGTCTGTCGCCAGCCATGTTCTTTCTCTCTCCTCTTCTCTCTGTCATGGACGGTGCAAGTCCATTGCCATCCATGTTCTTTCTCGCTTCTCTTTCCTCTGTCATGGACGGCGGAAGCCCATCACTGTCCATGTTCTTTCTCTCTCCTCTTTCCTCTGTCTTGGACGG